ATTTTTTTAATATTATTTTCAATATTATTAATAAAACCAGAATATTTTTTTAAAGTTATTTCACTAGTTTCAATAAATTTATATGCACTTATAGCTTCTTTAAATGCTAAATTAAATAGTTTATGTTCTTGATTAGTAATTTTTATATCAAGATTAATATCATCTATAAATGATATAAGAATATATCGATAAATTATAGAAATTAAAGTTTTGTTTTTATAATTATTAAAATCAGGAATATTATTTTTATCAATTAATTTATGTTCTTCAGCATATGAAGAAATATTTTTTTGTTGAGGCTTTGAATATGGTTTAGTATTGTATTTAAGAAATTTATAATGAGTTTTATGACATCGACTATAATGTTGAATAATACTATTATGATTATTTTTTGGAGTACGATTTTTATAAGAACAATTTTCTTGTAAACAAGAAATAGAATTATCTTCATTAATTTTATAAAGATTATTATTAGGTAAAGATGTCATGTTTAATGGATTTAATTTTGAAAATGCGAGAATTTTATCGCTCGCAATAAAATTCTCACAAATTTACTGTATTTATATTTAAAAATTAATGTGATATCTAAATTTGATTATTAATAATAATATACAAAGCGAAGCTTTGTTGTGCCCCTGAGATATGTGAAACATATCGATTTGGAGCTAAAGTTTGAGGGGGAAGCTCTGCTTCAAGGTTCCCCCTCAAGCTTTAGCTTCATCGAAATATCATATCACTGATCTACATGGTAAACAAACTAATAGAATAAGTGGTGCTGTTTACAACAAGTTGCGCATTGTTTTTAAAACAACCACACCAGTTTGTTTGTATGTTGTGAGATTAAATAATAAATATTATTATAATATGTTTATCGAAAATATTGTAGATCAGTAACACGAAATTTTTTGAAAAAGTGGAGAGATTTTTACTATTTTTACTAATTAAAAAGTGTAACTGCAGATGGTGGTGTTAAAAATTACCCAAATTGTGACATAACGAAAAGTAACACACCAGAATTAGATATAAAGAGTAATTGTGTTTAAGAAAATGATAATAATATGAAAATGTGAATATTTTTATTTAGTTTTGTATGTTATTTGAAAAAAATTGAAGATCATTTTCATATTTTTTTTTGAAAAAAGTCATAAGATTAAGGGATTAAAAAAAAGACGATGTGATTGAAAAAAAAAGAATGTGATTAAATAGTGAAAATATTAATTTTAATGTATAAATTATTATATTAATAATTAAATATTTATATAAATTGAGGAAATGTAAAAAAAAAAATAAGAAAATGAAAGAATCTAGACATACGTGTTATACATCATTTCATTGTTTAGATTGTCGAAATCAATTTAAATGTAAACGAGAAAAGGAAATGAAAAGGGATGAACGTGAAAAAGCATATAAAGAGGATAAAGTTCCTGAATGTGAATTATGTAATGTTAAACATTTTAGATGTTTAACAAAAAAATGTACTATGTGTTGCGAATTAAATAAATGTAGAACATATCCATGTCAATATTGTATTGATAATAATATTGAATGTAAATATTCGATAATAAAATCCAAAGAAGAATTTGAAAAATTTAAAGAAAAAAATATGTCAGCATTTATTGGTCAATTAGAACTTAGTAAGGAAGGTGTTTGTCATGTGCAAGCATATTGTCAATTTAAGAAAAAGGTTTTAATGGCTAATATTAAGAAGATGTTTGGAGATAATAGTATTTCTTTTCCAGATATCATGAGAGGTAATATGTATTCTAATAAATTATATGCATCGAAAGAATATAATAGATGTGAGAAA